GTGTTGATCATGACAATAAATCTCATCTATCATTTTTGTTATGTTCTTTGTTTGATCAATCCGAAAGAATTACTTTCTCTATAGTTAACTATATTCGAACAAAAGATATGCATCTTCATAAACTTCAATTAGTAAATATAAGATAATTATTGTTATATGATTTTATTTGAAAATAATAGGATAGAGCAGTCAATAGATCATAACCATTTCTACAACAATATAAGGTGAGCCAAATGCAAAGACGGAGCAGAAACATTTTTTTGTTGATTTACATATGGTTTAATAGAGCTCGTCGAGCTGATTCAGAATATCTAATTTTTATTGATTTTTGACCAAATTTTCGGTCACCAAGTATTTTAAACTTGCAATGCCACTTCGAATCAGAATGGATCAATGCACCAAAAATTTCACTACATGTCGTTCAGACTCCAAGTGTGGGGTGTGGGTGGAGTGTGCGTGTGCGTGTGAACGAGAAGAACAGCCACCCACACCCCACACCCATACCCACATCCGTGTAGGTACAGTGATAGGGTCCCAACACTATATGAAGAGTGATATACTTATGAGGATATCGGTAAAATGATATATTCAAAAGAGTATAGCCAGAATGATACATATCTTTGAGGATATAGGTACAATGATATTTTTGCAAGAGTATAGGCAGGATGATATATCTATGACGAGACAGGTCGAGGGATACACTCACAACACCATAGACAGAATGATATATCTATAAGGATATACGTGACGTCATATACTCACAAGACTAAAAGTAGAGTGCTATATTCATGAGGAAACAGGTAGCGTGATATACTCCAAAGAGGATAGGTAGAGTAATATATCCATGAGGATATAAATAGCGTGATGTTCTCAGAAGAGTATAGAAAGAGTGATATATCTATGAGGATAGAGGTAGAATGATATACTCTCAAGAGTATAGGTAGAGTAACATATCCATAAGGATAGAGGTAGAATGATATACGCACAAGAGCATCGGTAGAGTAATGTACCGAGAAAGGGTATTGGTGAAGTACTATATCCATGCGGGTATTGATAGATTGGCCTATCTGTGAGGATTGGAATTGAATGTTATATTCATGACTGTTTTTCTTCACGAATAGAGGTGTAAATTGTGAACTTTTTTGCGCTCTCTGTCGATTTCAAGTGGTACCAGGTTGTTGAGGTCCAGTTGCTAGAAGGTTATATTTAGCTGGAAATACTGGTAAGTGTGTTTACAGATGAAAATTTTCTTTAGAGTGAAAAGTTAATTTGAATTATAATTCACTTATCAATATTGGACAATATCAGTGATGTGAATAATGTGAGACTATGAAGAAATCTTTTGCATTCCTATTAGACGGTCGTGTATGATCATACAAGATCGTACGGTTCGCTCATATGTGGATCTTAGTGTAAGATCTGATGTAAAATTGCAGACACGACGATTTTTCATACGATTTTTCGTATGATCATATAGGATCAGGTACGATATTACTGTAATATTTGATACGGACTTACAAGAATCTGTCATTGATCTTAGGGTCTGATTTCTCGACCTGAGTGGTCTTGGAAGAATCGTACATCAAGACTTGATATACGATTTTGCAGACACGAAAGTTTCTCGTACGACTGGCGTCTGATATTAGAAGATCATACACGATTAGACTTCTGATTCCAAGATCTTACGTCTGACTTTTTGAGCTGGGATTCCCTACAATCCGAGACCACCCATCCTATTGGTTCAGAGCAGGGTTCGAAAAACATCTAATTGGCTAAATTTCTGCCACTTGAAATCCTATTGGTTGAGTGCTTGACTCATGAAACTTCTGATTGGTTAAATTATTGCCTCTTGAAATTCTATTGGTTGAGTGTGGACCCAGGAAACATCTGATTGGGCTGTTCAGTAGAGCTTTAGTCGGAAAAAACGAATCTCTGCGACGAAGTCTGTTAGACTCAAAGAGGTTTCCAGCTTGCGAAAGGTCGAAAGAACATTTTTTCTTCCTGTGCGAACGAACGTAATAACTCATTTTTCGTAAGACCCTCCTTTCAGTAGAGGGAATGATTTTGTGATGTTATAAAACAATGTTGAGTTTCTTCTAATAAACATGGCTAGAAAATATCAAGATAAATATTATTGTACATTCCAAAATGCTTATTAAAAACATACTTGATTATGACCTCGATTTTCATTCCAGCAGACGAAGCCATTAAATAAAAGTCAATTCATATAGTCAAAGAACAAATTTACTTAAAATTTTTACTTGATGACCAAGAGAAATACCAAATACTGGTAAGAAAATGTAAACTGCTATTCCTGTTTTAAGTAAAATATCATCTTGTTTAACAGGATGATTCCAAGGAAAGACTGTTACTTTTGCATCGAGTTGACATAAAATTCGTAATTGATTATTTTTAAGACCACAGTCAACACAAGCCATAGATATTTTGCCTGTTGGATTAAATACATGTGGTTTCTAATAATTCAACAAAAAATAAACAACCAAAAAAGAGAAAAGAGTTTATGTACCTCAATAGAAACTTGTATCATAAGATTAGTTTTATTCTGATCTTGAAATAAAATCAATTAAGGATTAGTTCCTTCCATAACAATCTATATATAATTAATTTAGTCAAAAAAAAATAGAAAAATACGCAAAGATTATACTTTGCCAAGCATTGTTCCGTGTTCACGAAGTTCTTTAGTTAATATACGTGTATCGATTCCTAAACTAAAAATAATTACTATCATGTTAATTATAAACAATAAAAAGAAGATTAATCATAAAGGCATGGAACATTATGTTTTTTGAGCCATGATGAAAGAGATTCAACAGCATTCCAATGACTATACTGTTCTGTATAAGCACTAACAATTAATCCTGATGTATAAATTTTATCTGATTCAAACCATCGAAGTAGACCAAAGTCATCAATAATTTTTTCATCGGGTACACCTGAACAGTTTTAAATAAAGATTCAAGACACTGATATAAAAAAAACCATAATTGCCAATAAGTGGAAAAGTAAGGACTAGAATTTCTCCACAATAAGATGGATTGGTTAATGATTCTACATAATCGACCATACCAGTTTGAAACACTAAACAGAAGGCAAATCAGTAAAAAAAAAGGAAATTCAATGATATAGTCTTACCAACTTCACCGGAAATATTAGTTGATGCTTCAAATACAAAACCATTGAATTCAGAACCATCTTCAAGTATTAAAGTTTCACGTTTCATCTTGAAAAAAAATAAAGAAATGTAGTTCATTATAAAAAAAAGCAGTATTTGATGTATTCATGTATAAGAAAAACAACTATAACTACTGCATATAAATGCTTTTACGCTATCGAGACTTACGCAAAACGTTATCTTTTTACATTCTATTCCACGAGATTGTGTACAGAATCAGAAAATAAACTTAATTAAGCTGTATTCGAAATATATGAGAAATATGGGATAGATAGTCTCTACGTGCAGAAATGAGAAGATAAAACCATTTCAACCATATTGTCTTGAATTTTTCATCAATACCTTCTAACATCTATCATTAGGAGATTTAAGCACTACATATATATATTTCTCTTAGTTGAATGTATTCCTGAGATAAATCGACAAAATATCATAAGAATATGTTATTATCTTTTAGTAAGGCATAACACACTATAATGAATGTTATCACATATAAATTTGTAACGAAATATTTAAAACAGCTGATTGCACTCTCAAGAAAAAAACACAAAAGCATTATCATACAGTAAAAAAATAGAATTCAGACATACTTTATATAAATAGGAGACTGACAATACAAGAACACATACTTAAAACATCACATCTTCAATAAATTCTAATTTATATCATTGATATATCATTATAATGAATAATTCTTGCTCAATATGATTCAATTGATATGATTTCATTATTTATTTTATTAATTTAGTAAGAAAAAAAAACAGCGTTCTAACAAAGGAAAATAAGCATAGAGATCTTTTGTATGTTCAATTGTTTCACCAACATATAATTTTTTTATTTTCATACAATTAAGCCGTGTTGTATCTTTTGCAAAGTTTCCTGTGACGATTAATAAATTATTATAATTGACTGTTAATTCAGTCAGACAAGGTAAATGTATTTTTTTCTCATTGAGAAATTGATCGATATAATCAATATGAACAGTGACAAGACGAAGCGAAATAAGATAAGGAAATTTAATAATTGAATACAATTGATTATCATTAGAGTTCCACTTGTCTGATATTAATGATTGTGGTTTAATATTAATAACACATAATTCTTCAAGCAAAGGAAAAGGCAACGCAATTCCATTGAAAAATTCATGTTTGAATGAAACATCCTTCACCGTTAATCTTTTAACATTATTGAAAACAATACTTGGATATGTATTACCAATATATGTGAGATCGTCAAACATGAATGGTAATGAAAAGACATAACATATGGCAGTAGAATATCCATAGTTTACAATACAATTCATTTCTTGATATTTTATGTTATTAAGAGTTTGTTGAATATCATTTTTAGATAAATGATCAACTAAATGATCCAATGTAGTTGTCAGTAGAAATACAAAAATTAAACATATGAAGTCGTAGCATATGAACAAGAATTTCATTATAAATATGAGTACCATCGATAAATGTAGTTCGATTTTTGATTGTAATATATAAAGTTAATTCTTCAAGATTCAACATACGATGAAAAAGAGGAAGAAATTGAGTATCATATGTATTAGTTAAACAAAAAGGTGTTGTTAAAGATAAGCATTTCAAATTAGGTAAATCATCCTAGAAAATATCAATTAAAATCTATATCATTATCAGTTAAAACAAGAAAAATTTCAGATGAATAATTATTTAAAAAGTTAGTTTTATTTCTATTTTAAACATTTCATAAACGTCAAGATTCTTATCTTTGTTTGAACCAAAGTGATTATTTTTAATGTTTGATTTTTAGGAAGGTATCCATAAAAACAAACGTTAGACATCATGTACTTCCCCAAATACAATTTAATAAAATCGTATTATAAAGCATCTCCATATAAAACGAATAAATTTCTTAGAAAATCATTTCTTGTTTCCTCTTATATTTGTTTTTCAAATGAAAAGATTAATCTAATCAAATATAAGTTTACCATATTGTAAACATTCAATGAATCGTATTCCATATTTTCAATAAAAATAATCAAGGTTGTTAATTGTTTAAGACGACCATCAAATAAAGCAAGACAATCTTCAAAATGTCTCACACGAATACATAATTTGTTAAGAGTTGAAGAGAAGAACGTAGTTAAAGGTATGTTACTAAATACCAAAGATGGATAATAATGCGGATATGATCCAATAATAGATAAATGTTTTAGATTTCCAAAGCATTTCAAAATATATCCATATAAATCTATCGTATAATATTTTAGTGATGCTTTATAAGATTTGTTTTCGAATACAAGAATAAGATCTGTAATTTGTCGTGGAATAATATATCGTAATGGTGTCTTATCTAAAAAATAAATAGTTATTGTCTAATCCATTTATACAATAGTTTAGAATCTAAATCTTTACTCTGATCAATGAGTATCTTATTTACCTTTAAAATACAATAAAATAGTCATTCTGTCGACATTAAACAGTTTAAGTTCAGTTAAACTAGGATATCGGACAGCATAAAAAATGCTTTTCAGAAAGAATGAAGTAACAATAAGAGTTTTAACTTTGTGATTAATTCTTGGCAATATTGAAGTGCAGAATTGACCAACTCTTGGATCAATAGGTACAAAAGTATTATTAAGTGATGTTGGCAATATAAAATTGAGAATACTAGCGAAATTATTTTCTTGTATTAAAGTGTCAAGTCGTCGATTATTTACACATAATAATGAATGAAGAACAAGGTGTTTCTGGACGTTGACTATATCATATAGCACTATCCAAACGCAGAATTAGCATCAGTACAAATTTCAGACCAGTCGGATGGGTCCGGTCTGACAGGTTCGGTATACGGGTCATCAAAAAGCCAGACTGGTTCTATCTATGCCCCACAGACCTCACTCACATGATCCCAATCACCAGACATTTAGGCGATGCCAAGCCCTACCACCGTCAAAATTCTAATACGCAATTATTTATTCATTTATATTTACTGCACTTCCTTATGGATTTATATTTACCACATAAAAAATGTTTGAATTTTATTCATCAAAACTTAGTATAACAAACAGAAATTATACTTTTGTGAATATTATAGAAAATAACATATGTGGAGTAAATTGTTGTTAATATAATATCGAAGAAGAATCTTGGTCGTGTATGGTGCTACCTTCAAAGGCAATCTTCGCATTAGATTATGTGATTAAGGATTATATGACAAATAGATTCTTTGAACAAGAGTCCTGTTCGAGTACATTGCTGAAGTTTAAGGAAAGCTTCGTAGTATCTAGTATAATCGTACGGTATCTGATTGTTAAAATTCACTATTTTTATTTATACTTTTACACTTTTTCTTTTTTTTTTTACAGGAGACATAATTTTTAAGTGGTGAATGCGTATAACTTCAGCTAATTTTTGAGTCATGTACCAGCTTATTACATCCCGAATATACATATGTAGTCAATATTGGAATCTATTATTGCATAACCTGGTATAACTAGAGGTATAAGCCGAAAGGTCAAACAGCGGCGACAGCTTTTATAGTAAAAATTTTTTTCCGTAGTGGTGGCGTCCACTAGAGTTTGTGTTTATCTGAACCGGCGGCGGCGTCCTAGACTATTATCAAAAGTTTTTGTTCGTGACGGCGGTGCAACAGTTGAACTTGCTTTTTCACAGCAACGGCTTATTTTTCAAAAAAATCGATGGCGGCCCAGCTGTGCAGCTTACACCTCTAGGTATAACCATATTCCTCAATATATATTCCATGCCATCAAAATCGGCGACTTTATCACGATTAGTCGCCTAAATTGACCATTTTCGAAAATCAAAAGAATTTTAATAAAGAAAAACATATGAATCGATAGATAATCGAATACTTCATTCATGTATATAGAAACATAAATTTTTAGTGTTTATGTGGATATGAGTTATTGGTAATGTCAAACAAAAAGTAATTTGAAAATTGCAAGAAGAACAAATCTTTTTTTCACCGTTTCTCGAAATCTATTGAATTTTTTTGTGAAAATGAAAATAAAATATTTTTTCTATGCATAAAACTTGTTGAAAACATCATTATTTTATGGATAATTTAAAAACTACATTATTTTGATTAAAATAAAAAGTAGAAAGTGACTTTTTCAGTTCAATGATGAAATATTACTTTAAAACTTTGTTGAAAAACTGATAAGTAGACACTAAGAATACTTTTTTAAACTAATTCCAAACAGATAAAGAACAAAAGACTTTTGTATCAAAAACCTTATTTGATTGTATATCGGGGAAAGACAGAACTTGCTCTACACAGCACTAGTAAATACAAATAATAACTTATTCAATGGAAAAACATATAAATATACTTATAATTCTTTTAAGTATATGTGCACAATAGAAGTTGATACGAATTTTTTTTGTGTTATTATCAATTTGACAGCGAAATCGACTTGCAATCCGTGCAAAAAAAAATAATAATATCTTAATTTCATACAATATAATTTAAATATAGACCATGAATATAAACATATGTACAATAAACAATAGATTTCTATTTAATGATAATTTGTAAGATTAAACAAATGATTGTCATATAATAAATCATGACAGATGATTCAAATGACAAAATTAATTATTATCAAAACTTCAGCATCGAACAATACAAACTAAAGGATTTTTAGCTTTGGATTATTATGTTCATAATCAATTTTTCATCTTTCACATCTTTTGTGGTATTTATCATCCAAGATAAGCCTTTGCATGACAGTCAAATAAACAGAAATTTTAAGCTGAGAGAGAGAGAGAGCATATGAACATCTACAGAAAAGTTAGGAAGCTGTCATAATTAACTTAGATAGTCTGCAGTCACTTGTAATATTCCGTTCACAAGAAAATACAAACAACATCAAACTTTTCCTTAAAGTGAGTAAATCAAATGGAGTTTCTTTGACTGCTGTTTTGACAAATTAATAATGTTTGATTTTCATATACATTTAACAAAGCTATTCTTATTAATATTTTCCTGATGACTTGCTCAAGTTTATTGTACTTTTCAAACACGATGATGAAAGAATGTCATAAGGAACTAGATCCATGCCGACTATTCACTTCAAAGAAAATTATTTCTACTTCTCATTTCCTGAATACTTTGAAAATTTCCACAGTATTTTTACATACTCTCATATAAACAATTTTCGATTCAAGAAAAAGAAGATGTATTTCCAAAACTGTTAGAATTATTCATAATCTTTACATAGTAATTTCAGAGGAATGTTTCTCGGTAGTTCGATTTATGAAATTTAAAAAACAAAGACATTCAGAAAACGAAAATTAATGAAAAATTAGAAATTATCTTTGAAACAACATATATATATTTGACCTTTATGTCATATCATTACTCTAATCTGCTATAAAAACGATTTGAGTTCTTACTAAAGAAAATGTAATTATTGTAACAGATTTCTACATAATCAAGTACAAACAACAATTGTAAATCGTTTCTCAAAAAAGTTTTTCTTTATAGATCAACTCATTAAGTTCAACAAACAAATTTAAAAACTTAATAATATATTATATAATGTCGAATATTAATACAACAGTAATAATACAAACTGGACAATCACGAGAATATTTAATTGTTGGTTACTATTCATTAATTTTAATTATTTTAGGCACTTTTTTCAATATGATAACATTTTTTATTCTTTGTCGATCAACATTTAGAAATGTTAAAATAAAACCAACACTTCATTATATGCGTGCAATGGCTATCTTTGATATTCTTATGTTATATGGATGGAATCTTGATCATTATCTTAAAAATATATATCAAATACGTATAGTAACTTATTCTTTATTATCTTGTAAAATGATTTCATTTCTCAGCTTTTTTGCACCTCAATCATCAGCATGGCTTCGTGTTTTTGTTTGTTTGGATAGATATTTATCATTGAGTCGTCTTCATCGAACATGGTTTGGTCAATCAAAAAATGTTCTTATTATTATTTCATGCATTATATGTATTCTTTTTCTTCTTAATTTTCATTTTTTTCTTTTCGTTTGTTATTATACATCAAAGGGTACAATCACTGTTTATTCTTGGTTGTATAATGTCTATCCACTATGGGATAATATTAATTTTGCAGTATACAATTGTGTACCATTTATATTAATGATTATATTCAATAGTTGTATGATTTATCATTTAATTCATCTTAGACATACAACAAGTATTCAAAATTCTCAAATTCAACATCGATCAATATCAATTACACTTGTTATAACAACATTTCTTTTTTTAATTATGACTGTACCATCAAATATAGCTTTTTCATTTTTTTCTTCATCAAACAATATTCTTTTATGGTTCTTGGATTGTCTTGTTTATTCCTATCATACGCTATCTTTTCCATTATATATGATTACATATGATGAATTTCGAAAAGAATTTTTCAAAATAATACGATGTAAAAGAAACAGTGGAAGAGTTGTACCATTAACAAGAACTGGTACTATGCCGCAGACATTCGCTATAGCAAAAACTATGACTAATAATTGAAATTATCGTTTCATTCTTATTTATCTTTTTGGATGAAATCAAACATTTTTTTTTAATGCATTTTGCTTCTTGTAACAATTGTACTAAGCTGCTTTCTATGTTTCAATGTCGTACATCATTACTGAAATCTATTACTATGTTTGTAACTTCAAGTATGTGAATCTTTCAAGATTTATGTAATTAGATTAATACATATTGTATTCAGTGTTTAATAAAATTTAAATCAATATAATGATTTATTTTGACTGAACAATTTCATCGTATTAATACTCATGTGGAACATATCTTTACACATATTTGTTCAAAATCTTCAAATCAAGTGTATACAGTGACTCAATGGTTTTCAAACTATCAAATAAAAGTAATCATTTATATTTTCATTCATCTTTTATTTGAATAAGAAATGAACTTTACATTCTAATATGATAAATATTCAGAATGAAACAAAATTTTCTTATGATTAAGTTAGTGAGGAATTTCGAATTTTAGCAAGAGAATGACGAGTTCTAGATGATTTTTTCTGAGATAGTACAAGAAAGAAAGAATTGATATTTTTTTTTTTTTATATTAATTTTAAGTCAAAAACACTATTTAATTAGAAAAATCTTATTTATTTTCATAGTGCAATAATGCCACATAGTATTCATTTTTCAACTGATTTAAAAAAATGTTTTATTTCGTGAGACTTCATTTGTTGACATCAGACTTCTTTGCTACGATTGAAGAACGAGCTGACAAAAAACTTCGACCACCTCGTCTTTGTTCACAATCGGAGACGGTGGAACCATCAAAAGAAAGACCAGGATCTACTTCTGTAACATTGTCATCGATGACAAATACAATGTCTGAGCTCCAGACTCTAAACAACGATCAGGACAAATATCTATGTGACTATTCGAACAAACTGACAGCGAGGTTGTATATCAATTCTAGTTGTTATTGACTGAAAAAATTTATTCAACAACAGTCAATCTTATTAAAAAGTTGTAGGCTACACATGATGATTTTTTCATTCAATCTAAAACAACTCTTTATCGTAACCATCATCAGCTTGGATTCAGTTAGAAATCTATCACTAAAATTAAAGTTCCACTTGATTACCTTTTTGTGTGTCTTAACGTGGAAAATCTTATCGCGAAATCGAGAATGTGGGTCTTTAGTGCATTGATACTCACACCCTAAATAACGAATCTACATTGATGCATTCAGCACCTTTACCTTAAGACAAATGTGTGAGAATCATAAGGATCATTGATTTTCTATCGAAGTCATAATGTATCTGCAGAAGATTTTGCACAAACATGGAAAACCAAATCGGATTCAAAGTTTTCAACAGTTAATTGTCGATGAATATCAATCAAAACTGGTTGTTAACTTTTGTGGATAATATCAGAAACAATTCCTATTTCAATACAAAATTGAATTCTAAATTATTATCCGCACATGAATATCATTGAGTCAGTGTGCGCAAGAAGAAGTTCTTTTCTCGATGCATATCATTTTTCAAATTGATGAAATCGAACAATTTGGTAATCACCAACAACTGTAACAAATGAAGCTCAAACTAACCAGTGACAATTACTTTAAATCGATGACCTCATGAAATGGTTGTATGTAAATACACAAGAAATAACATGATCATATGGTCTAAGTGAGATAGATAGATCCAAACTACGTGCCTAGTGAATAGGAAATTCATTGAACTGATATCTGTTGATGCATTTGTGTCATTAATGTATATCCTAGATTTGGACACGATATGCATTGAATTTTGATTATAATATTGAGGAGAATGTATGCTTTCGTTGTTGAAAAAGTATAGATCGATCTGAATGATCAGAGATCGATGAACAGAGAAAATATTCATTTTGAGTAAAAAATTTCTCAAATGCAAGCTAGACAGAATGGAAATTTTCAATTAAAAAACAGTCAATCAATTGAAAACGTTCAAATAATTCCATCTACTCAAAAAAGGATGAGTTTAGATGTTGATTCCATTCTAATATATACACACACACTTCACACACGCACTGCAAAGTGTTCTTTACAAAACCATGTATATGGTATCTTGGTTCAAGATTGCTTGTCCTGATTTGTTATTACGTCCGTTTAACTAATTTTACTTTTTTTTTTTTTTTCATTTCTAATGTTATTTTTATCTAGAGTACGTTATTAAATGCTTTAAGACGATTATTACTGTAGAAAGTATTCTATATGAAAATGATTTGATATGTTTACATAGTTGTTGAATTATTCCCAAAAATAAAATGATCTGAATCTTAATACTTTTTATATCCAATTAAATTTTAATTATTATATTAAACTGCTTCATTTTCAATTGAGTTTATTTTATTTCAATGTCAGTTTCTTGTCTATTAAAAATGTTCAAATTACAAGACGTTGAAATGAAGTTTAATCAATTTATATTTCTAGCTGTTTCAAAGTTTTGTTTGATACAGCCGCCATACGTATTTGATCCCTAGCCGATTCAGACAGATTACAGCTGTACATGTGAAATCGTTTCAATGATCGATTATGTTCAACCATCTCAATGAGTGATTTGACAGACTTATCAGTGACTGATTTGTTGAAACAAACATCCAATACTTCAAGATTACGATTGTGGTATGCAAGTGCGTAGGCCAAAAGCTCTATTCCTTGATTTCCTATATTGTTCGTGTGCAGACCCAACCAAGTTAGAGTGAAGTTTTTCTTCAACATTTCGGCTAAATGTTGTGCACCTACGTCAGTGATATGATTTTCATTGATATCGAGTCGCGTGAGTGTCAAATTTTTTGTTGAGAGTGCATCACTGAGATATTCGACACCAACATCTCCAATTGCATTGTTTTCTAGATTAAGTGTATTCAATATACTATTATTTTTCAATCCATCAGCTAGTGTCGCGGCTCCTTGTGATGAAATCTTGTTTTGATCTAGCAGTAATCGTTTACATTGTTTTTTCGTCATCGCTTCGTCTACAACTAACACCATGTCTTGGTCTCTCAATCGTCGTGATCGTAAGTCCACTGTCAACAGCGGTTGACATTTTTCGATGAGATTTTGAAGTTCGTCATTTCGATATGGAACCGTACCTAAGACAACATCATCGTTTACTGAATCTCAAATAAATGTGTTAGAGCTAACTATTTATGTTTTTCTCTATATTAGAAGAATTCGAAAGATTTAAAGAGAGATAAAAAATTGCATTATTTTACTATTATTACTGCGAGTGATTTGTTGACGTATTTGGCTCGACATATAACATGCTGACAATGCGCAAAAAAAATAGACGATGAATTTAGCCGAATTAGAGATCGTTGGATGCAACTCATCAAGTTGTACAAGAATATGCACTTTAACACTTTTATCAGTTAATATTTTAGGTTCAAAACCTTAGAAATATAAAATATGTTGAGAAAGTCAAAAATTTACCAAGAACTAAAAGTCAAAATTTGATCGTTTTTGAGGATGTGGGGATAGGTTTGATAAAAGAAGTTCTGTGAAGATCCTACTTATCGATTAAATTTCGTATCAATTAGCAAAATGCATACTCAGAAATTTATTTCCAAATGGAAAAATCGTATTAAGTTATTCGTGAAATTCATCTAAATCTTTATCACTTTGCATGCAAATGTACAATTGTTTGGAGCACAATGATTTATCTTTTGCTTAACTACCCAAGCAGA